TTAAGATAAAACAAAAATCAACAGTTAATATGTTTTCAAAAACAATGATATTAACTGTAATAATAGTGAAATGATGAGAATACTTACCGGCTATTTATTATTTAAGGTAAAATGAAAATCAATAGTTAATATTTTCAAAAAAAACAATGATATTGACTGTAACAATAGTGGAATGATGAAAATACTTACACCCTATATTTATTATTTAAAATAAAACGAAATCAACAATTAGTATGTTTTCAAAAACAATGATATTGGGTGTAATAATAGTTAGTAAATGATAAAAACACTCACACACTATTTATTATTTAAGATAAAACGAAAATCAACAGTTAATATTTTCAAAATAAAACGAAATCAACAATTAGTATGTTTTCAAAAACAATGATATTGAGTGTAATAATAGTAAATGATAAAAACACTCACACACTATTTATTATTTAAGATAAAACGAAAATCAACAGTTAATATTTTCAAAAAAACAATGATATTGACTGTAATAATAGTGAATGATGAGAATACTTACACACTATTTATTATTTAAGATAAAACAAAAATCAACAGTTAATATGTTTTCAAAAACAATGATATTAACTGTAATAATAGTGAAATGATGAAAATACTTACAAACTATATTTATTATTTAAAATAAAATGAAAATCAAACAGTTAATATGTTTTCAAAAAAAAAACAATGATATTGACTGTAACAATATTGAAATGATGAGAATACTTACTTGCTATTTATTATTTAAAATAAAATGAAAATCAACAGTTAATATGTTTTCAAAACAATGATATTGACTATAACAATAGTGGAATGATGAAAATACTTACCCACTGCCCATTATTTAAAATAAAACGAAATCAACAGTTAGTATGTTTTCAAAAACAATGATATTAATAATGAAATGATAAAAATACTCACACACTATTTATTATTTAAGATAAAACAAAAATCAACAGTTAATATTTTCAAAAACAATGATATTAATTATGAAATGATAAAAATACTCACACACTATTTATTATTTAAGATAAAACGAAAATCAACAGTCAGTATGTTTTCAAAAACAATGATATTGACTGTAATAATAGTGAAATGATGAGGATACTTACACACGACTATTTATTATTTAAGATAAAACAAAAATCAACAGTTAATATGTTTTTAAAAAAAACAATGATATTGACTGTAATAATAGTGAAATGATGAAAATACTTACCGGCTATTTATTATTTAAAATAAAGTGAAAATCAAACAGTTAATACATTTTCAAAAACAATGATATTGACTGTAACAATAGTGAAATGATGAGAATACTTACAGCCTATTTATTATTTAAAATAAAATGAAAACCAACAGTTAATATGTTTTCAAAAGCAATGATATTGACTGTAACAATAGTGGAATGATGAGAATACTTACCCACTGCCCATTATTTAAAATAAAATGAAATCAACAGTTAGTATGTTTTCAAAAACAATGATATTGACTGTAACAATAGTGGAATGATGAGAATACTTACCCACTGCCCATTATTTAAAATAAAATGAAAAATCAACAGTTAATATTTTCAAAAACAATGATATTGACTGTAACAATAATGAAATGATGAGAATACTTACTTGCTATTTATTATTTAAGATAAAATGAAAATCAATAGTTAATATGTTTTCAAAAACAATGATATTGGCTGTAATATAGTGAAATGATGAGGATACTTACACAGTGCTATTTATTATTTAAGATAAAACAAAAATCAACAGTTAATATTTTCAAAAAAACAATGATATTGACTGTAATAATAGTGAATGATGAAAATACTTACACCCTGTATTTATTATTTAAAATAAAATGAAAATCAACAGTTAATATGTTTTCAAAAACAATGATATTGACTGTAATAATAGTACAAAATACTTACACTATTTATTATTTAAAATAAAATGAAACCAATAATTAATATTTTTTCAAAAACAATGATATTGACTGTAATAATAGTACAAAAATACTTACGGGACTATTTATTATTTAAAATAAAATGAAAGCCAACTATTAGTATTTTTTCAAAAACAATGATATCGAATATAATGATAATAATAAATGAAATACCTCGTTTCTCGTTATCAATTGGGTTTGCTAAAGCCATGACAGCAAAGATAACCAAAAAGAGAAGAGAAATATTGAATTTCATTTTGAATTATTCAGATAATTTTTGTCAAGTTTTCACTTTTTTTGATTTTCAAATTATATAGGATTACTTTAAGAGTATTATAAAAAAATGAAGACAATTTTTTTTCAAATTAATTTTTTTATTTCTATTTACTTTATTTATGTGTGAATTTGGAATCTGCGTCAATTTGAAATTCACGCGCGTGAATTTCAAATTAGCCAATCAGAATTTTGTATTAAAACAACAATATTATGGGGTGAAATTCCGATTGGCTAATTTGAATTTCACATAATTTCATTTTCACGTACAACAAAACCAAATCTTTATATCTCGATTTAACGGATTTAACGGATTTTTCATATACATTCGATTTAGCGGATTTTTTTAAAAAAATCTATATGTTCGACCATAATAAAAAACAACGGATAATGTCGATCATTAACCAATACAGGCACTCGAATTAGAAAATAATAAAAAAATCATTTGATACAAAAATTTTTTGATAGATTTGTAATAATCTAGGAGGATTATTTTATGAATGAATAAATTTATTACTTGTTATTGTTACATTTGATTATATTTTATTTGCCGTATGTATTATATTTTTTTAATCATATTATTTGCACAGTTGTATGTGAAATTGAAATATTATGGAGTGGGGTGAAATTCCGATTGGCTAATTTGAATTTCACATATGTAAATTGCGAATTCACATAATTTCATATTCACGTACAACAAAACCAAATCTTTCTATCTCGATTTAACGGATTTAACGGATTTTTCATATATATTCGATTTAGCGGATTTTTTTAAAAAATCTATATGTTCGACCATAATAAAAAACAACGGATAATGTCGATCATTAACCAATACAGGCACTCGAATTAGAAAATAATAAAAAAATCATTTGATACAAGATTTTTTGATAGATTTGTAATAATCTAGGAGGATTATTTTATGAATGAATAAATTTATTACTTATTATTGTTACATTTGATTATATTTTATTTGTCGTATGTATTATATTTTTTTAATCATATTATTTACATAGTTGTATGGGAAATTGAAATATTATGGAGTGGGGTGAAATTCCGATTGGCTAATTTGAATTTCACATATGTAAATTTGAATTTAACATGTGTGAATTGCGAATTCACATAATTTCATTTTCACGTACAACAAAACCAAATATTTCAGGATTTTTCATATATATTCGATTTACCGGATTTTTTTTTTTAAAATCTATGTTCGACCATAATAAAAATATATCAATACAACGGATAATGTCGATCATTAACTAATACTAATACAGGAAACGTAATTAATGAAGAGGAATTAGAAAATAAAAAAAAAATCTTTTGATGCAAAAAATTTTTTGATATTAATATGTATTATCACGGGTCGAAATTTTTGATTTTGACAAAGATAAATTTAGTTAAAATATTATTAAAATAACATATTTTTCTAATTTTTTTCAAAGTCAAAATATAGTGGTAAATTGGTTTTTTGCAATGATATTTTATCAAAAAAATATGTCAAAATTACTTTCATTTTCTCAACATTTTTCATTGAAATAAACAATTTATTTTTGCTAAAATAATATTAAAATACCATATAAATAATAGTGTCGCCGATTAATTTTGGGAGAGCGTATTTTAAAGGGTGATAACAAATATTTATTAGTTTTATGTGAATCAGATTGAATAGGCTAATACTAACGAATTAGATTTATTAGCGAATAATTTTGTTTTAGTAATTTGATAAAATGATTTTGTATTTAGTCGAAACTAATTATTAACTTATTATTAAGTTAATTTGTTACAAAGTTATTCTTCGACTACAGCGAATACTCGTTCCTTATATACATGTTAAGTTATATGTCTCCCAATTTGGGAGATTTCTCCCAGGTTGGGATTATTCTCCCAATCCGTGATAATCTCCACTAATTTTCTACTAAATAAAGGTCTAATATTAACGTGTTACGAATTAATTAAATCTGCGGAATGTAACACGAGCTCATAGTCGTGTGACATGTCCTAAAAATCAAGGGGCAAGTTTATTTTCCGAAAAATTTCCGGTGATCTACACAATTTTTT